GCCTCCCGAGTGCTGGCATTATAGGCATGCACACCACCATGCCTAGCATTAAACCACTTCTGTAAGTATTTACTAGTCACTGCTCAGTGCCCCATAGGTTTTCTAGGTGGTGGGCCAGCCCTGTTCTCAGGGAACTGGATGAAGGTGCAAAGGCAAGTGCTGAAGCTGGGGCTCAGCATATCTGACCAAGGCCAGCTGGTGCTCTTGAGTGATCACTTTCCAGGCTCTAAGGCTAATCTTTCCTCAATTCTGTCTCCCTATTGACTGCCCATCATTCTGCAGAGGGAGAAGCTAAGAGCAGTGGAAATCCTGTGCTCAGATTCAGCCCAGAACAGTTGGATGCAGAGCCTTTCCCTTTTTTGCTGCAGCACTGCCCCCTCCACGGTCTCCCATCCCCTCCCCTGAGGTGCCCGCTTCCCTTCCCTCCCTCTCTGCCTCCTCCAACCCCTGTGCCCGCACCTCGGAGCCAGCGCAGGAGGAAGTAGTCATCAGCTTTGGGCATTGTGGGCAGCAGGTCCTGCAGGTTCTCCTGGAACTAATGGGAGGGGAATATGATAGTCAGAGGGGCTGCCAACCCCATCACCAACCCTTCCCACCTTCATCTGCCAGTCAGACCAAGCTGGGGACTCTGCAGAGTGAAGACCACACAGAACTTGCCCTGAGCCAATTTGTCCTCTGGGAGCGAGGCACCCTCCAGCCCACCAGAGAAGGAAGAGCTGGGTTCTTTTTAACCTTTGAAAGTGCTCTGACTCCCAAGATTGTCATTCCTCAAGTCCAAAGCGAGGCCCTGGTGTCTTATTTTTACAAGGATCTCTGAGTGAGTCCAATACAAGCCAGCCAAATGTTTTGGGAATGTTGCTCTTGTAACACTATATCTTTGGGTCTGGATTTGGAGGCAAGTTACTTGGCCTCTCTGGGTCTCAGTTTTCTTAACTGTAAAATGGGCATAATCATAAATTTGGGCCACTCAAAGAAATGTATGCATATAAAACACTTGGCATTGGACTTGGCTCCAAGCAGATACTAGACGCCTGTGAGATGTCACTCAGCAAATGTAGTCTACCTATGTAATAGAAAATACTCCCATTTGTGCCTCACTCCACCCTCACCCCCATTATACTCCAGTTTCTTAGTTGTCCAGGTAACAGTTCTTGCTCCAGTTCTGGTTGTTTCTGGTCTGTTACAAATGGCTGGTCACTATGATGCACATTGCATAAACCATTCCTCAACTGACAACCCGTTCTGCCTCAGTAACCAGTATAAGCCTCTGGGTTGCTTGCTTATCTTATATTAAGCCCTTGACCACCTGGGATCAGGGTCTGATATTTTAGGAGTGACCTCAGAAGTGTCTGTTGACATAAAATAAATCTGCCTTTAATCTGGGACATCATTTAGGTGTTTCTGTTTGCCATTTCATCTGCTGCATTAGCCTGGAAGACTGACCATGCTGACCTCTTTGGTCACTAGTTGTGGCCCTGGCAGATGAAGCAAGGACCTTTGCATGTGCACATGGGACAGCACGCCTTTGAGATTTAGCTTTCCAGAACATGTTTAAAATAAGAACGCATTCATGGGAGCTGAGGATATAGCTTAGCAGTATAGCACCTGCCTGGCAAACACAAGGTCCTGAGTTCGATTCATGATGCAAAAAAAGAAAAAGGAAAAAAAGAAAAGAATTAATTTATCGATTGCTTACATAATTAAAAAGGAATAATCAATTTAAACACCTCCAGTCTTCACAGGTTGCATGATCAACAGCAATTGCTACATTAATCTGGGACAAGATGGGGACCAGGAATGGAGGTTCTTATAGCCTAGGGGCACCTAAGGTTTCTTTAGTGGGGTGTGAGGGACAGAATCTCCTGAGAAGCAAAACATTGCACCCTCAGCCCTTCCAGGCTTTTGTTTCCCTCATTTGAATTCAGGATGTTCCCTGAGGTACAAGAGGCAAATGTTACACTCTTGCTTTTCAGATGAGGAAACTGCGGCTGGAGATGTAGAGAATCTGCCTGTGTGAGCAAAGTGGCAAGGACCGGAGGAAGCCATGTTTTCTGCCCTGGGGGGCCACACTGCTCTTGGAATGCCTATCAAGTCAAAAAGAAAGTCACCAAGCAGGTGCTCAGAAGGGACTAAAGCATCTTGGGAAAAATTCATTTCGGGATGATGCCATATGGAGAGAGAAGCATCTGGCTGTGTGGCTGGTGGTGCTCAATACTAGACTCAGGAAGGATCCAGAAGGAAATGCTGCTGGGCATAATTATCTAGACCATGGTAACCTCCCCTCACACTGCCACCCCCCAAACATTTAAAAAATAATAAGCATTTATTACTTTTTTTTCTGAGATAGCATTTCTTTATCTATCAGTCCCGAATAGTCCCGAACTCACTGTGTAGCCTAGGCTGGCCTCCAACTTGAGATCCTCCTGCCTCAGTCTTCCAAGTGTGGGATGCCAGGCAGTGCCCCACAACACCCTGCATATTACTTTTAAATAATGGAAAAGAGGCTGACACAGTGGCACACCTCTATAATCCCCACACTGAAAGAGGCTCATGCAGGAGGAAAGCAAGCTCGAGTCCCTTCTGCATAACTTAGAAGACTTTATCTCACAAAGCACAAAGTGCTGGGTATATAGCTCAGTAGCAGAGTGCCACTGAGTTTGGTTTATCATCAGTACTACAAAGAGAAAAGAAATTAAGGCAAGAGAAAAGAGAAGACAAGAAAAGGGAGGAAATGTCTGTAATCCCAGTACTGAGGAGGCTGAGGCAGGTGGATTGCTGCACGTGGAGCTCAGACTGGGCAACACAGTGAGTTCAAGTCTAGCCTGAACTTCATAGTGAGACACTGTCTCAAACAAACAGTAACATATTTTCTTGTAGCTTAAAGCTCTGCCCCACAGGCATCTCCACCCTAATGCACCCTCAGTGACCAAGTGTCCTGTCTCTCCTCTGTACCTCATGCCAGGGGCTTCCCAGAAGCATCAGAAGGGGTGGAATAGGGTTGTCAGGGGATGCCTTCTCCTTCACCTGAGCCCTCTGAACTGAGGACCTGCCCTATCATCTGGGCACTTTTTTCATTCACTGAGAACCATCCTTCACCTGCAGAGCCTTTTCTATTCCCCAAGTGCCCCAATCAAAAAGCTGCAGGGAGGCAGGGAAATAGGGTGTGGCAGGCAGACCAGGAAGTGAGGTGAGACCTGCTAACTACAAAGCCCCAGGAGCAGTTCCCAAAGCCCTGCCTGTGGACTTCTAGTGAGAACTTGAGCAGTGAGGGACAGGATGGCCTAGACCTGACATCAGACTGAGGAGCAGGAAGTACAGAAAGGGCAGTCCACAGTGAGGTTTTTTTCTGTTATTTGGACAGGCTCCTGCCCTGTGATTCAGGCTGACCTTGAACTCACTATGTACCCCAGGCTGGTCTGGAACCCATGGCGGTTCTCCTGCCACAGCCTCCCGAGGTCTGGGATTATAGGCAGGCTTACACTGAACTGTTTGCTACTGTGTGTCCTGCTTTCTCCTGTAGAGTGCACTTCTTTTCCAGCCTTTACTGGGCCCTAACTCGCTCTATAGAGCCTGTTCCTGTTCCTACCTTTAACAAACAAAAAAACTTCTTTGCCTTTTGAACTTGTCTTGACAAATTCTCTGTCCAGGACAGAAAAACAAAACAAAACAAAAACTAGAAACAATGGGTTGGGGAGATGGCTCAGTAAAATAAGTGCTTTCCTGGCAAGCGCAAGGGCCTGAGTTCAATGCCCAGTTAAAAACAAAACAAAACAAAACAAAACAAAACAAAACAAAACAAAACAAAACTAGAAGCCACCTTTAAGAGACTCCAGCACCCCACAGCCTGCGACACCAGGACTCCCCTTACCAGGGTTCCCTTTCCTTCCTAGAGGAGCCTCTCCCAGGGGAGAAGATTCAAAATAATTTCCCACAAATCTTAAACTATCCTGCTTTTCACAGGCCCAAAAGGTGAGCCCGGCTGTGACCTCTGAGAGCTAAGAGAGAAGCTGGGTGTGGTGGCACATGCCTGTAATAACCAACATTCAGGAGGCTGAGGCAAGAGGGTCACTGTAAATTTGAGGCCAGTCCAGGCTACAAAGCAAGTTCAGCTTGACCTGCACAGTGAACCCCTGTCTCCAAAAAAAAAAAAAAAAAAAGGAGAGAGAGAGAGAGCTAAAGAAACATCCTACCCTTTCCCTATGGGCCTGTCCTTTCCAGGTGCTGGCAGGCTTATCTCAAAAATCCACAAAAAAAACCCTTTAAAAATATTTAATAAAAAATTAGAATAAATAATCATAGGGGAAAGATTTGGGCCCTAAGAAGTCAGAGAGGCACGAAGAGAAAGTAGACAAATACAGAAATCAAGGCACGAAATCCCGGACTCTGGGAATTGGTCAGTCTGCCAACCCACGGGTCACGCGAGACCCCGCCAGCCTAGGGCAGCCCCACTGCTGCCCCGCAAGCTGGTTTCAGAGGACTGGATTCACACCCCAAGTCGCCTGCAGAGGGCTCCTGACCCTGCTGCGGCGCTCCCGGGAGTGGGGACTTGGGCTGGGGCGCGTGGGGGTGGGGGGGGACGCCCGTGTCCCGCTGCCCGAGCCCTCCCTATCCCTCCCAGCAGCCGTCGAGCCCCTCACCCTGGCCAGCGCCTCCTGCTGCCGGGGGCTCAGGTCCCCGACGCGACCGCTCATGATGCCGCGGCCACACAGGGGCGCGCGGAGCAGCTGTTCAGGTCCCGTCCGCCGGCCCAGCCTCTGTCGCTGCCACTCCTGCCCCGGGTTTTGCCTGGCAGGTCAGACGTTAGTCCCGCCCTGACCGGAGAGCCACTTGTCCTGCTCCGCCCTACTGTGTTGTGGATTCCCTCGGTCCTTCCCCTGCCCTCTTCATGCCGTGCGGTAGCCAGGCGCACCCCACCCTGCAGGAAGGTCGTCAGGAGCACTCCAGGCTGGAGTAGGGGATCCCCCTCCGGGCCTTCTCACCCCAGGGTTGCTATGATTCCCTGGAGGGAGACCGGCCCGTGCCAGTGTTTCCTGTGCTACCTGGAGGGCCTTAAGAAACCCCCTCCCCTGTCCTGGAACACAGGCTGGGTGCTCTGTGTCAAATAGCTCCGGCCCTGGGGATGTCCAACAGGATTAGAAAACATGGTGCCCCCGGGTCAGCAGAATGCCTGGCATTTCACAGTGCCGGCTGCCAGCAAAATAGATGCATAATTATTATTATTGAGGCCATCACCAGAGCTGGAATCTGCAGGGGCGGGACTCTGGGATGGCCCAGGTGGTGAACTCCTGGACCCAACCCACAGGCAGAAAGCCAGAGTGCCGAACAGCCACGAGACAGCTGCGGTGTCACTGGAGAAGGGAAGAAAAACAAGTTGCCTTGGCATGAATTTTTCAGAAAGGATCAGGTGGGAGAGGAAGGGGCCAGTAAAACACACCAAGGAGATGGGCTCTCTCTGTCCTCCCATAGGGTTAAACTAAGCCCTAGTTCTGAGATGACAGTCACATGGCCACAGCTGCCTGTGGCTGTTGAGCCTGGGACATGTGGTTCCTCACTAGTGTGAGTGGATGTGACCTGTGATTGTAAAATGCAAACCGAACTATAATGACTTAATTCCAAAGAAGATGAAATATTTCATTCTTTAATTTTCCTACTGAGATTATCTTTTTGATGTGATATTTTTAAACAGATTGAGATGAGAAAACATTATTAATGTTGATTTAACATATCTAATAATTTTGAATTTTTATTTATATATTTATTTATTTATTTTTTGGCGGAACCAGGGATTGAACTCAGGCCCTTGCACTTGCCAGGGAAGCGCTTATTCCACTAGGCCATCTCCCTGGTCCCATAATTTTGAATTTTAAGGGAATGGATATATTTTATGTTTTAGAGAGGTTTTAGGCTCATAGTTTTCTTTTCTCAGAGAAAGCAGAAAGTATAGAGTTCCTATATATCCAGGGCTGCCCCTACCTTGGTACCACCATGGGACATTGGTTACCCTAAGTGGACTCTGTTGATACTTGTGTCACCCAAAGTCTATGCTTTGTGTTAGGGTTCACTCTTGCATTCTGTGTTGTTTGTTTTTGTGTTTTGAGACAGGGTGCTACTATGTAGTGCACACTGGGCTTGAACTCACAGTCCTCCTTCTGCTGCAGCCTCCCAATTCAGCCTCCTACCCGCTGGGATTACAGGCGTGTGTCACTATGCCCAGCTCATTCTGTGGGTTTTGAGAACTGTATAATGACATGCGTCAGTTGCGGCAACCTGGGGTGGAATAGTCTCACTGTCCCACAAATCCTCTGGGCCCTGCTTTTTCTTTTCACTTAAAAAAATGCAAGCCAGGGGAAAAGAAATCACAAAAAAATGCTACAAGAAAATCAAAGGGACATCACATCTCTGGGAGGGAATGGTCTACCCTTAATTAAATAACAGAGAACCACACAGGGTTTGATTCGATTGCGTAAAAATACAAAAATACACTAGTGAAATAAAACAATAAACAAAAATATAAAAGCCTATTAAGCAAGAAACAGAATTAAGACATTATATATATTTATTTGTTGATATGAATTTGGGGAAATAAAATGTGGATAAAGAGTTCATGGAACCAAGGGCCAGGGAAATGGCTCAATAGAATAAGCGCTTTCCTGGCAAGCACAAAGGCCTGAGTTCAATCCCTGGTTCCGCAAAAAAAAAAAAAAAAAAAAAGGAACTCATGGACCTTGTAAGAAAAATAGTAAGTCACAAAGAAACAAAGAGAAAAAGGATATCAAGCACCAATTCTTAGAAAAGAAATGCACAGTTACATTTATTAAGTTGATAAATGCTTGATGCCCAGTATCATCAAATAATTGCGTATTCAAACAATGAGATACTTGATTTCACTGAAAAATCAGAACACAAGCAACAATCCCTCAAATAAAATGTACGTGCAACCTTTTAAAAAAATGACAGTAAGTGGGTGGGGTGGCACATGCCCTTAATCCTAGCCCTCAGGTGCTAAAGAAGGCTGAGGCAGGAGGATCAAAAGTTGAAGGCTAGCCTGGGCAACACAGCAAGACCCTGTTTCAAAAATTAATCAGTTAAAATGATAATACAATTAGGTAGAAGTTGGTACAACAGAGACATATGTTGCTGGCAGGCACAGAAATTGTTTTGCTAGAAAACTACTTGACAATGTGTGTCAGGATCTTTCAACATTTTACCACTTTGCTCTGTGGTACTGACGGAAAATGAAAATGATTTGAGGCTACTGGAGATTGAACCCAGAGTCTTCATACTGTGCTATATCCCCAGCCCTAGGTTAGCTTTAATCTTGAGACAAGATTTCACCAAATTGTTAAATTGTCCAAGTGGATCTTGAGCTGCAACCATCTTGCCTTAGTGTCTCAGAGTTCTGGGATTATAGGAGTGCACCACCACCTCTGGCCCTGACAAAATATTTTAAGCTTAAAGATATTTGTGTGCTAGTCACAGGAAAACTTGTGGGCTCTATCCTGTGTGTGAATATGTGTGTGTGTGTGTGTGTGTGTGTGTTTGTATGGTACTAGGGCATGAATCCACAGTCTTTGCAGTGAGCTATCTCATTTGCCCTTTGTGTGTGTGTGTTGTGTTGTGTGTGTTTTGTTTTGTTTTTGAGACAATATCCCATTAAATTGCCCAGGCTGGGTTTGAAACTGCAATCCTCTTGCCTCAGCCTTCCAGGGATTACAGGTGTACATTACCACACCTTGTCTGAAATGATTTTTTTTTCAGTACTGAGGATAGAACTTGGGACCTTGTGCTTGCCAGGCAGGCGTTTATGCTACTGTTATTTCCCCGGCCTGAAATGATTTTTAGACTATGGTGCCTACTGTGCTTGCCAAAGCGTTTATAATGACTTTGTGGAAAATACACCACAAAACAGACTGCAAAATATAGAATCACATGATATATGCTATATACTTCTAGAATGGAAAATGAAACAGTGATAAAAGGGCCAGGCAAAAGAAAAAATTTGCCCCAACCTTTTCCTGTCTCTGAAGAGAAGGAAAAGTCATATTTACAAATGCCAAAAGGAACAAGTCACCTGCAAGGAGAAGTCTTTAATTTTTTTTTTTTTTAATTTTTTTTTTT